TAGAATAGAATAGAATAGAATAGAATAGAATAGAATAGAATAGAATAACAGAGTTGGAACTTGGAAGGGACCTTGGAGATCTTCTAGTCCAACCCCCTGCCTACGCAGGAAACCCTACACCACTACTGTATCTCCTGCTTGCCAAAATGATAGGCCTCTAGCAATGATGGGAGTACTGTCAAAAAGGAGAGTCTTTTAATAATCAGATACTTTCCTAACTGCAAATGTGCTCCTAACCGTTCATAGCTTTAAAAATTAATACCAACAATTTTAATTATGCCTAGGATTTGGCAACCAATGCCATTAGGGATTGGTTAGCAGTGTAGCTTTGCATTTTACAGCAACTGCAACTTCCACATACTTTTCAAGGATAGACCCATTTGATCCCCATGCAGTCAAAGCATGAACAAATATTGCCAAAGCCAACAAGTTCAGATCCAGTTTCCTATTTATGTATAACACCTCTCTCTTATCCAGAGGTAATGTCAGCTTGTTTTCCTCATCTAGCCCATTATTAACTTAGGCAACATTCAAAAGTATGAATTAACCTCTGATGTTCCATAGAACACCAAGGTTGATAGTCTAAAGATTAAACAATAGTTTCCCAACAAGAACTATTTTCCCTTCTTAAACTATTTTCCCTCTAAAAAGGGTCCCAACAGGAAAGAAAGAAATTATTGTTAACAATGTTCCTCAAACCCAGTCTCACAAATGGACTAGACGTATCATCAACAATAGTTTCTAATATTGGCTACTTCAATGGTTCTGGGAAATCCAGAAGCAGGAGAACTCTTCTGCCTCTAATTTCCAACAACTAGTGAAACCTAGAATAAGATGGTTCTACAGGAAGTTTACAAAAACTGAACAAAATTATTGATACTTCAAATGCTGGTATACCTACCCTCCATAAATTTTCCTACGTAGTATCCATTGTCACTTCCTATTGTAAAAATTCTCACAAGTGAATGCAACTTTTGAAATTAATGTAGGTCTTAGCTACAGATTTTGATCGGGCAATGTAAGCCAACTATGGACTAGACTAGATCAATTTTTCCAACTTGGAGTCTTTCACATATGTAGGATTACAGTACCTATCACACTATTGTTCCTGTACTACACTATTGGCTGTGATGGAATTTGTAATCTGAAACATCTGAAGGTACAAAATTGAAATAGGTTGGTTGTGATGATTTCTTTTTGGAAAGTTATTTCTAAAGAATTACAGCTGGGGCTCTAATTTGACCTTTTTCTCAGGTCTTAAAGGCCCACTAAAATGGACCAAATTATTTCTAATATTCCCACTCCACATAGACATGTATACTTTTATCCTGCTACTCTCCGATGCAAAAAGACTGACAGGATAGAGCAAAGCAATTTAAGCGTTAACCAAGCACAGGGTAACTCCTACTTTGCCAGTGGACTTGACTCCTTTCCAGATGCAGAAATAGCAGATGATCCAGGCCAGCAAGAGGCAGAGGGCCAACTCCCAGCGCACAGTGCCCAGGTTGTGAAGACCTTCTGTTATTTTCAGCGTTCGTCTCCTAAGAGGACAGATGAAAAGATGGAGGAGGTGAGCCATCTTTCTGCCAGCTCCTATTAACCCTTCATACCTGCTTCCTTGACAGCTTTTCCTCACTAACGGTCTTTAGTTTAACTTGGCCATTGCAGGATAGACCCAACAGTATCTGTTAACCCAGGGGTGTCAAACTCGATTTCATTGAGTTTGGGGGGAAGTTCGATGTCACTTGTGTCAGGCCTGTGGTGGCCCAAGTGCTCTGCCAGCAAAAATGGGCTCCCAAGCTGCATTTTCAGCTGCGACAGCTGCCTACAACCCTCTGCCAACAAAAACAGAACTCAGGAAGGCAGCCCTCCCGAACTCTGTTTTCACTGGTAGAGGCACTGCGGGCCAGCCCTTTACTGTTTCTAGGATGGCTCCATGGACCAGGTTTAAGCATCCCCTGGGCCAGATCCAGCCTCCGGGCCTTGAGTCTGATACCCCTGTGTTAGCCCTTCAAAGTCCTCAAGCCCAAAACCATTATTAACACTACTCTTATTTTAAGCTATAGTAACAGAATCTTGCAAGTTTGAAAGCACTTCTCGCTCTTTGACTTTCCAGAAAAGGGTTCCTTCCAAGATGTTTCCATGCCAACTGTTCTTGTGTGGGCTGAGATACCTTATGCATGATTATTGACAAAGCTGTGGCTCTTCCTCCTGTCTCCAAGGTCATTCTCACAGACCATTACTCTGTCTTACCGGAAAAATGATACTACTGGTTGTCCTTGCTATCCAGACTAAAGGCTACAAACTGTACTGCCTTTATTGGTGACAGAGTGTTGAGGGAGAGAGAAAATATGTTGACGATACTGATAAGCTTATGGATAGACAACGGCATGTATTTCTCACTTGCCTTCATAAGATTAGGCACTTTCCCCAGAAATTAATCAATAACTTAATTAGGTTTGAGTTGATCACATGTACGTTCTTCCTCAAAGAGACAGTGGGGGGTGGGGAAAAACAGCTTAATATTTATACAACATAATTTGGCACTACGATTCAACAGAAAAAACTGGTCAATGTTTATAATATACTGTAGATACTTTTTGCAATAAAAACTGCAAGTGCAGAAAGCCCTAATCCTATGAACTATTTCATTTAGAGGCTGCCACTATTATCAGGTCACCATCGGGTTGCTTTCCTGCTATTTATTTACCTTCTCTTATTAATCTAGATATTTGGATTTTTCTCTCTGCTATTCTCAAAACAGCCTCCTTGTCCAGCCATCATACTGGAACTGCAGTGATATCTGAACTCAGGAGGAAACATAAGATAAAAAGGTGACAAATAAATACATTAAAGTCTACTAACAATTTACATGCCTCACATTATTTTAGAAGCTTTATTTCTGGGAAGATGCTGTCCAGATGTTTAGGACAGTAAAAAAAAACTGGTTAGGAAGTGGGAAAAAGCAACTGTCAATTGCAGATGATGTAGAATGCAGTGCTGCCATATTGATATTTTTTAACCATCTCTCACAGACACCCCTGGGATGGTGGATATACTATAAGTAAAGGTAAAGCTTCCCCTCGCACATACATGCTAGTCGTTCCTGGCTCTAGAGGGCAGTGGTGATCTCCATTACAAAGCTGAAGAGCCAGCGCTGTCCAAAGATGTCTCCTTGGTCATGTGGCCGGCATGACTAAACACTGAAGGCGCATGGAACGCTGTTACCTTCCCACCAAAGTGGTCCCTATTTTTCTACTTGCATTTTTACATGCTTTCGAACTGCTAGGTTGGCAGAAGCTGAGATAAGTAACGGAAGCTCACTCCGTTACGCGGTGCTAGGGATTCAAACTGCCAAACTGCCGACCTTTCTGATCGACAAGCTCAGCATCTTAGCCACTGATCCACCGCGTCCCTGGATATACTATGCATGTATATCCAGGCATATACCAGTGGTAGGATTCAATTTTTTTTGCTACTGGTTCTGTGGGTTTGGCTTGGTGGGCATAGCAGGGGAAGGATACTATAAAATCTCCAGTCAGAGGTGTTTTTGCCAGTTCTCTGAACTACTCAAAATTTCCGCTACCGGTTCTCCAGAACTGGTCAGAACCTGCTGAATACCACCTATATGCAGTATATAATTCCCTTTGAACTTCAGCAAGGCCAGATCTACAGCTATCCCCTCTAAATCTCAGGGAAGACATTTAAGGAAAGGAAATAAATAACCCGAACAATTGAAATACGTACTCCCAAAACTCGATAACTGGAGAGGTGGCATTAGTGTTATTCCCAGAATCGGAGACATTCAGAACATCCACACAGTATTCTGCCAGAAGAAAGAGATGTTTAAGAGTAAGAAGGGATACTGAAGATCAGCTGCTCCAACTCCATAATCGGTACAAATCTCCATGTGCTTAGAACATCTATTCAGGATCCAAACTGTCTGGTGTGGTACAGCAACTAAATAGGACAGGTACAGACTCCAACAGATAGTTAAGACTGCAGGGGGGGGGGAAACAATTGCAACCAGCCTATTTTCCATAGAAGACCTGTATGTTGCCTGGGCCAGAAGGAGAGCTGATAAGGTATCTGCAGACCCCTCGCATCCTGGACATAAACTGTTTCAACTCCTTCCTTCAGGATGGCATCGTAGGGGATTGCAAGACAAAACAACCAAACACAGAGACAGTTTTTTCCCCTCGTGCCATCACTCAACTGAACACCTAATTCTCTCAGTGCCGCCTAATGTCTATTAACCCATATACCGTGACTGTAATAGCCTTATTATCTTCTTTACTCCCCTTTTTATTGGCCGTATTATTATTATTCTGTTGCTTTGCATACACACTAAGTGTTTTTGTACCGGAGATAAATTCCTTGTGTGTCTAATCACACTTGGCCAAATAAAGTTCTCAATTCAATTCAACTTTTCTGAGTTGCTTTTAGCAACGTAAATGTTTCTGCTCCAAGAAAACTGACCCTGAGAAAGACCCTGAGGCTTTATTAAAACATCCATCCTTCCTTTTATTGGATTCCTCCTGTCTGGGGCTCCCAAACAAACATATATGAAACCCAGATGTCTCTGGAATGCAGATTGTTATCAAGTCATGCTGACTGTTGTAATTTAGGATTGCAGACCCAAACCCCTTCCTTCCTCTTCACATTTGCCTCTCTGTGTACATTCTGTCCCCCACACCCCTTTTCATGTATGCAGCTGCCCCAGAGAGCAGTTTGTAAAAACATTTAGAGACAGAGAGCACCACCAAAGCATCTAGGAGCGTTAGATAAATAAGAGGATGAGAGGATATTGTGGAAAAAGTGTGACTAATGTAGCGAAGAAAAAGCAGGAGAAAGGTCATGATGCACAGAATAGGTGGCTTGCCTTTAAGGGGCTTGGAAGTGTAAACTGGGAGGAAGGACTGAGTAGCCAAAAGGGGAAAGGTTTAGTTTGGGTGTCAATATGCTGTGTTGCAAGGAAGTTGCTTCTAATAAACAAGTTGTAGTAATTGATTTAGTCAGGCAAATGCATGTTCTTACAGAACCAAATGTTACTATTTTTATGAAAGAATAATACTGGTTTTATTTCTCTTGGATAGAAAATGATGCACCACATAAAAGAGAGGGAACTGACATCGGATCAGCAGTTTGTATGTTGCTGGAGTCTGCCTGTGTTCAACATGTTGACAGTTTGGCATTTAGTTTTTTATTTTGTTTATTATATTTTCATCCAACCTTTATTACTTAACAAGTAACTTAAGGCAATGAATATACACAATACTCCTTCCTCCTCCTATTTATCTCACAACGGCCACAATATGAGGTATGAGGGTGAAGGTTTGTTCTCTGAGTTTGTGAATTGATTTCTGAACGTTTCGTTACCAGTCTTGTAACATCTTCAGTGGAGTTTAGGAGAAACTAAAGTCCACGGAAGATGTTACCTAGCCTGGTAATGAAACATTCCGAAACCAACCCACAAGCTCAGAAAACAAACCTTCACCCACATCCTACATCTGAGCTACAGATATTCACCACTATTGCAAAACTAGGAGGTGTGTTGGGCTGAGGGAAACAGCTTTCATGACTAGCAGTAGAACTCACAGTCTGCTGGGCCTGGTGCCTTAATCACTAGATCATACTGGCTCTTTTTAAACTCAATGCCTTGAAAAAGTAAAATTCAGGTATGTTTACCTGTAAAGGTAACTTTTGGTTATGTAGTTCAGCAGCAGTTTCTACTGTCATGGGTAGGAGAGGTTTGCTGCATGACACCTGAGGAAATTGAATGGATGGGTTACACCATTTCATCTAAGCGACTTCCAGGTCCATCTTCAAAGAATGTAGTTATTGACATAATAGGACTCTTTGATAGGATTCCAGTGGGTTACCATTGTGCTATAATGTTGATTGATTAAGTGGCCAGAAGTAGCTTTGGTATCACATTTTTACATGCTTTCAGCAGGAATGACTGAATATTGTTCTGTTGTTTTTAGCAGGGAAGGAGTTCTTCTCTAATAATGGGAGGCAATTTACTTATGAAAATGTTTAGCAAAGAATAAAATTACAGAAGAGAGTGTCAATTTATTATTATCAAGCAAACATGTTTGAGAGATTCAACAGAATCTGAAAGATAGACTACTTACAGCAAAATTATAAGGAAAAAGTTAGGAAAACTTGATTATGGAACATTAGCAATTATACACCATTGAATAACACATAAAAGTGTTGCACGGAAGCTCTGGTATCGCGAAGATAAGATGGTGAAATGGTCATGATGCAAGCCTTCCTTACATCATCATCAACAACAACAACAACAAACAAACAACACACACACACACACACACACACACACACACACACACACACACACAGAGGATGCCAATACATGGAAAAGAGACCAGAAGAATGTGGCTGGCTCAGAAGATCAAAGCCAGATGCTATCTTAGGAGAGCAGATGAATGGAAAAGAGTGAAAAAGACATGAGAGGAATGTTTAAAGTATGCGGGCTAGGGTAGTGGTGCTAAGGGTTAGAAATGTAAATGTGTTTGATGTGTGAAAGATTTTAAAATATAGGTACTAGAGATAAAAGAGATACAGTAGTAGATTTATATCCCTTTATAAATGTTTTAAAATAAATGAGTTTCATATTTACAAACTGTTTGATGGATGAGGGGTAGAATGCTTCCCACTTTCCTAAGAGATAGGGATGTCCACAAAGAAGAAAGGAACAGGCCTCGAAGTGCACAATCATGGCTGCTATCTTGATTACATCTCCTTATTTATTATTTAATCTTTATTATTTAGTTAAGCAGGAAGGATGGGCAACCTTTGACAGTGCTGTATGAACCCCAGGTTGACCAGTCAAATCAGAAAAGCTTCACAGGAGGTAAAGTTGAACAAAAACAGTGAGAAGTTGATGCTGAAAGATGGCCAGTCCAAACAAGACATCTCCCAATTTGGACAAAACACTGTGTTATGTAAAAGCTGAGTGGGTCATGCGATATTATAAGGAAGAGAAATGTACCCTCTGCCTTTAAGAAACTTGGGAGAGTAAGACAGCAGGAAGACAGGAGTAGCCAAAAAGGAGGTTTGGATGTCAAAGTACTACATTGTGAGGAAGTTGCACCTGATAAACATTATGTGAGGTTTATTACTGCCTAGGGGACCCAACAGAAACATAGGGGAATACATAATGTTGCACACCATCCTGTAAATTTCTTTCTTTGCTAGGACTCAGCTTAATTTCTAGTAGTCCCATCAGTGGAGGACTTAGAAGTTTTAGTTTCCCTTTGGTAAAATCAGCTAAAGGATCCCCAAATACAGCAAGATTGCATAATTATGTTTCAAAGGAAGTAGTGTCCATTGTTACCATCTCTGGGAGGGTCTATGAGAATTCGCTGTAGCCAACTCGCCATGGGTAACTTGATGTGGCCAACTCATCATGGCCAACTCATTATGGCCAACTTACTGCGGCCAACTTGCTGCAGGACAAGAAATACAGTAATATCAAAGAAATGGTGGAACAGAATCATTACAGGAAGGATGCAAAAGGAGGAACAGAATTAAATGTGAATGGTAAAAGTTAAAGTAAGTTTTTATTTATTTTAAAAAAAATAGAATTGTTAAATTGTCCCACAGCAAGTTGGCTGTGGTGAATTGTCTTGTGGTGAATTGGGCATGGTGAATTGGGCATGGTGAATTGGGCATGGTG